ACACACACACACACACACACACACACACACACACACACACACACACATACAGAGGTGACATCTGGAGTGTTTCTGCCTCACTGCTGTTGTTCCCCTCCTGATTGGACTGACAGCTCTCTCTCTCTCTCTCTTTGTGTTCCATTTTCCTTTTTTCTAAAAGCTCTGTGTGTTCAGCTGTGTGTGTGTGCTTATGTATTATAATGCACTAGACAAGTGATCTCTTTATATGCCATTAGCTGGTACTAATTAAGGAGCTGTTGATGTGCCAGTCGCTAGTATTTGTGTCACCTTCAATTACATACTTAGACCACTGAGCCATGTGTGTGTGTTTATACATTTTTCTGCACATACACATCAAAGGACAAATGTGAACGTTCTTAACATATGCAACCAGCATCTTGAATCAACCAGATAGAATGACATACTCCAAATTTGTGATATTTCAAAAAACCTGTGTGTAAATTTCTGGACATTCTGTAACACTATATAATAACTACATGCTATAAAGCATTATTTAAGTATGAGTAAACACTTAATTAATCATTTATAAAGCATTGTTCCTACAACAACACTCATTAGTATGCAATTCATGACAGTTATAAATGTTTTATTCTTGATTAATAAGCTTGTCTAATCAAGAATAAAACACAAAACACATAATAGACAAGCTTATTAATCAACAATAAAACATTTATAACTGTTATGAATTGCATACTAATGAGTGTTAACGTAGGAACAATGCTTTACAAATGATGAATTAAGTGTTTACTCTTCTTAACTAATGTTCATAGTGTGTAGTTATTATAAAGTGTTACCGGACATTCAAAGGAGTATGGATAAGTTGTCAGAAAACACTACCCCTGAAGAGTGATGCATCTGAATCTCTTCTAGTCATTGATTATAATCAAAACCACAGTCTCTCCCTTATCTAAACCAAAGTGTTTTAGTATCTTTAATCTAGCGGGATGCAGGATGCAAACCATGGTCGCCTGTGTCAATGTCCTATCCTTTGTACACCCAGAAAATCTTCCAAACAGTTTAGGAAAAACAAATTAGTAGTACATCAATGCAATTTTGATGAGACAGAGTTGGTTGTAAGTGACTTAGCAGTCTGCTCACATACCAACCTGCTCTCACCCCCAACTCATCAGAACTGCCTCCTTATACAATGCATATATATACCTTTTGGCGTTCGGATGAGATACATACTGTACATGCTTTCAACAAACTCCAATGTAAACCCATCCAAACCTTTATGAAATGTTCAGAGGTACTGACGAAGTACAAACGATAAATCTGTTCAGGATGGGTGGTAGGTAAGATTTGGATGTGACGAACAACACAGGAGACGGTGTGGAAATAAGTCAACGTTATTTTTTTTTTTTACATAACTTCAGTACTTTACTAACAACAGCGATGATCTTTTCCTTGACCTTAGTAGTTTTGTTGCCTAAACTTAACCAAGTACTTTTGCTGGATAAGTAAACCTTAAACTTACGTTGAAAGTTTATTTTGAGACTGTATGTATGTAATGAGCAGAGATTGTACGTTTCCTGTGAATACAGAAGTTAATATTGAAAAGACACTGGGCATGTAACAAGCTAAAACTGACACTTTGTCACTGACACGTCCAAAACGGACAGTGGAGGGAATGTAGAGCGTCATAGTTTGAAGCATAGGGCCACTGACCAAGCTGCAATATTTTTTTTAGAAGTTGGAAGTGAGATTGTGTTGCACATACCGGTGTGTGATCATGTTTTTACTTAATAAAATATATTTGTCTTATTGGTATGATTTACACCGTATTATTGATTATGATTCAATTTCTAAAGCCAAATTCAAAATAACACCCGGGGCCCTACTGGAATGTAGCACTGTTTAGGCATAAACGCTCACGTAGCACACTGTACAGTCCCCTGGTGCCTACAGTAGGTTTATGGCATCAACTGTACCCAGCAGAGGTTTACATGGCTGTGGAATAATCAGTGTAACTACATCTTTCACTAATGTATTGTCAAGTACAACAGATCCACTCCACTATGAACACTTCATGTGAAGTGTTTTCTCTGCTGGAAACGGCAGTGTGGGAGAAATGGGATTCTTGATCCAAAACTCCTACAAGCCTCCTTTATTACCTGCAGTTCAACCAATGTATCCCGGAATGCAGAGCACATGCATACTCAAATGACTATACTATGTTCTTGTTGTAGATTATCTTCCTTTATTGCCTTCTGTTTCTTGAATTGCAAATAAGGAAAATGTCCACATGTTTTGTTGTATTAGATGGAGAGCATGAGATTAAATCCAAAAGATTCAGAATGACACATTTTCACAGTTGAGGTGAGTGAGGTAGGGTGTAGTTATTATTACAGCAATTCAATAGTGGGCAAATAGAGTTCAGTCTCTTCTTTAGCACAACTTCCAACAACACATGTTATGCAAAATATTCAAATGCTGTTATTAAAGATCCACTTCATATGTCATGTGGATGGTACTAGAGCAAAGAGCATGCACTCATTCAAATTATCTCAATAGAAGAATGAATGCATGTGAGGACCATGAATTGATCCTGCATTGAGCTTGATAGCACTAAAAGAAATTCATCAACTCATGACCATGAATATTGAAGCCCAGTAGCGATGCAAATTACATCTACAGTATATTGGGAGATTCTGCACCTCAACATTTAGGTCCAATACCAACTTTGGTGCCAGTGCAGGAATAAGTGCGCAATATTTATGTAGCGAAGTGGAGGTCAGGGAGGTGGATGAGCATGTAGTATGTCTGACTTTCATGGAGGAGACCAGAGTTTACATATTGTGACGGACCTGCAATAATGTCTGTTAATTAATGTTGATGTTAGTGTTAATTAATGAACCGTCACCCTAACCCTGTCTAACCTTTTCCAAGCATTTAAAATGCCTAACCCTGACCATAGCCCAAATACTGCAAAAAGTCAGAATTAAAGAAATAAGAAAAACATCGGTTGAACGTTATCCAGGTTTTTGCAGAATTGCCTAATAGTGAAGTTCTTGTCAGGCGATTGCATTGCAATATTTAGACCAAATTCCATGGAGCTCCATTAGTTTTAGTTTCCCTGTCACCAAATTGTTGGAAGGGCTGACTGACCAACATTGACAAGTTGATGTTGCGTTAAAAAATAACAAGGACATGATCTTAAGCATTGTGCTGGTTACAATACACCAATTTTAATATGGCTACTTCAATGCCATTTAGCCAACTAACTTACAGTTTGTTTTAAGCTTTGATGATACAAAACAATACCATCCAAATAATCAATGGCCAGGTGGCAGCCAAGGCTCTATATTGGAAAGAGCCAGGGGTTAGCTGAGTTTGTTCTCAGCTAGTGTGTTATGTTGTTACTGTTATGTATAAGTTAATTGTGACTTGTGACTGATTATGTGCTTGAAAAAGAAAACTAGTTCCAAACTGGATGTAGGATGATTAAATTGTGAGTTTTGCCACCACAGGGAAGGTTTTTTCATTCATTAAACTGTTTCTATGAGTAACAGATACTATATAAGAGATGTTCCATCCTCCGGTGGCCTTGAAGGCTGATTGATTGATTCTACTTTGATTGATTGATTCCAGAAATCACTCAACACAACACCAAATAAAACATATTCACTAGCTAAATATAGTATTAAACAATTTTTAAGAATAAATTATTGTAAGATGGGATATCATACTGGAAAAGAAGTTAAGATGTCCATTTTGTTTGCGGAACATTTGTGTCACTGTTGTTTCTGACTCTGCATCCTTATATTCTTCAGCAGCTGAGTGAATGATATTTATCATCCTCAGCCACAACAATTCCTGGCCTATCACAGAGGTGGAGGTCCTTTAGATCCTGCGCACACGTAGCTGCATGAAAACACAGGCTAATGGTTGTTCCTGGCTGCAACAGCTTCCATGAAAAGGATACGAACCACAATGATTGAAATGCAGAATTTAAATTGATGTGTGTGGTGAGAGAGCAAACACAAGCACAAATGACATTGTGTAAGGTGTTGCATTTTAAGCAGACAATAAGCCAACTAAAAGCTCACATCAAATGATTACAATATAATCACCAGGCAAGTATTAAAAAAGTATTAACATTTAATAATTATTCTCTCACACTGCTCGTAATGCACTTATGATACCTTGTAATGCCTTCTAATCTTTCTTAATGCCAAATATATAACGTTTTTAAAAGACTGCAACAAATGACAGTTGAAGTCCAAAATGCACATATACAGTACAATGTTTGACCTGATAAAAAATTCTACAGTATATCCAAAATATTACCACTCGCATATTTTTTAATGACAAATGTGCAGACTTGAAACAGCAATTATGTACTTGATGCAACCGTCCCTATCTAAGACTGTGCCTACTGTTTTCATTCACCTTTGCTCATGTCACTGGGGCCAATTTTTGAGTATGTAATCAGTTTGATATTATTTGATGGAAGCTGAGATCTGTTTTTGTTTTGCTTTGCAGATTCTTCTGACTAAAGTTGAAGTGCTGCTTCCCGTTGTGATGAAATAGAGCCAGAGCCTCACAGCTTGGGTAACTCCGCTAGAATTCCCCAAAAGACTCAAGAAGAGGTATGAGTGCGCAGACACAAAGATATAGACATGTACACACAGTGACTGTCATGGTTGGCAGCGACTGCATTGTGAATACAGTCCATTCACCATTTATGTGTCCAGAGAAGAAATTGCTCAATCAGAGTGATTAGTAATGGTTTGTAATTTATCCATCATCAATTCTCACATCCATTAATGAAACCACATGTAGATTGGCTGCTCTAACAGTATATTACCCCCTATAAGCCATGCCTGACCACATGAAGGTAAACAATGGGGACATTGCAAACACATATTAATACCAGGTATAAATGTAATCATGTGGAATCTAGACACCATCTCCAGACAAGATGCATTTTAATGCATTTTCTGCAATTAAGACGGTCTAAAAGGTCTTTAAAAGAAATGCAATGCCCCGATTCATCTTTACTCAGTAGGATGTGAGAGGTTTGAGGAGACACAGTTGCCTACCAACACACAAGCTATCCACCAATAAACAATTTCAGTTCTGGGCATGATGTCACTGCCTCTGTCTGGAACAATGACAAATAATGACAAATCCTGGCACTGGCCCCGCTGTGGCATTGACGTTGGTTTGGAAGGCTGTGAATCACTTTTATTTTATTCCATTGTGTGCTAGAATGTCACACAGTTCACCTGCTCTGGAATCTCCTTCCACATGTCGTTACTTTATGAGGTCCTCATGTCTCTGCATCTGCCATATATGACTGGGCTGTTTGATTAATGTAAAGTCTCTTCACTGTGTGGAAAAAAGTGTGTAGTCCTTTGACTAATATATTTCTTTGATTCTTATCAAGGTCTTGGCAATGCATTTCCCATCTACAGCTAATCTCCAGTGTTTGGAATATATCAAAATGCACGGCAGTCAATGTTTCATTAATGTGATCTAACACATATATGAGTTGATGAGGTGCCAATAATACTTACCAACTTTAGGAAGCTGAAAGCCCTCTAAGTATCAACGGGTCACAGACATTAATGAATTTATCGTCTTCTTAATATTGTTCTTAACAGCAAGAAGTGAATTCCTGATGTACTGAATGTACACTCACTTTACTGTTTGGTTCAGTCATTAGCTCAGGCAGATTTATCTCATACTGTGTGAAATGTATTGTTCTTTGAGGCTGCGTGACTTCAATCAAAATATGAATTCCTCTTTTATTGTCCATGCCCAGTAAATTGAACATCAACCTATACACTCCTTTTACTAATTACACTTAAAACAATAACACAAAAATTATGATTTTTTAAGACACATGAATATGTTTAGTACTATAAATAACATCTGATGTGAACACATCTAATTAACTATGAAATCCTGATCCTCTCTTTATCATCTCTGCTAATCGTTCATCTACAGACTCCACTCTCTTCTGTAATTCTCTTCTGCTAATTTAGATTCTGTCCTTTCTCGCTCTCTGTAAATACCCTCATTTTATTTCTTCACTCCTTTTGCCACTGCTGAACAGGAAACCTGCTGAGAAGCAGTCTCTCAAAATGAGCCAGGCCTTTGAAAACTGACCTTCTTTAACGTGTGTTCCATCTCAGTGCACTGCTTTGCTTTTAACTCAAACTTTTTAACTAAAATGTAACTAAAGTAAAAGATGTTCCATCAAATAGTTTTTTCATGCCGTTACATCACACGATATTATAGTTACGGAGTGAACAGAATGGCGAGGCCTTGTAAGGTCTTGCTGTTCATCTGCTGAATGTAAGGGGTGGGCCAATTGTGCTTGTCAGACTCATGTCTTCTCCAGCTCTACGTAACTCTTTCTCCCCCTCAAAGCACTTCACATGAGAAGCAAATGTGGTGCCTTTCAGAACCATCATTAAAAAATCATTATCATCTCTCATCTCTCCCTGACCTTTCACTCAGTAAGCAGGGCATTCATTTGGAATCGAAAAGTTCACATGCATCTATCAATCGGTCCATCAAATCTTCTAAATGCACTACTAATATCAAAAAGAAAATGTGTTGCCCTGAAGAATCTGATCATAAGTTCAGCATAATATATAGTGCCATATGTGAATGGTTCTACAGTTCATACCACAAGTCTTGGTTTGTCAGTTTTTGAAAGAGTAAAATGTTACAAATCAAATCGACAGGCCCATGAAATGCACTGGTTTCTATATTCATTTATATATTTTTTTGCTACATTTTAGCCTCTAAGAGTTGCAACGTTAGTCAGCCCACAGACTTAAATGTCTTGTCGACAATCAGCTAGAACAAAATAATCACAGCTCAAACCCATCTCACAGTCTTCTTCAGCACCATGTATGTCGTTAAATTGTACCGCAGGTCTCGGTTCAGAGGTGGTCTTTGCCGTCTGAAGTCAAATTTTCTCTTTGATCTTTCTCCGACCAATCACTGACTCCTGGTCAAAGATTTTGAAACATCTCCCGGTTTGTGCCATGAAAAGTTCAGCAGTCTGTTGTTCACAGAAGCATCCTCTTCCTTACTGATGAGATGTCGTGCTCTGTGAAGGAGGCTGGGCGGAGGTGGTCTGGGTTTCCTGTACACTATGGCCCAGGTATTCATGTTGGCTAGAGGATGAATCCTATTGGCTGACTTTATGAAGTCAAGATAATCCCTGACATCTTCAGCACTTAGAAACTTCCGCTTGTCAAGGTTGTTTGGTTCCGACATGCTAAATACTAGCAAGTTAGCATGGCAGCATTATATAATATCTTGTGAGAGCTGAACTTAAAAGCCATGAACATATTTAGATAAAAAACAATGAGCCATTAGATTTGTTTTTTCAAGAGCAATAATAAACCTGTTATATTAAAATAAAAGAAATTGCTAATTTTAAGTCTAAATATATTGAATTGTTATGATGCATCTATAATGGCTTCCCCGTCTCATTCTTTCTTCATTTGTTTCTGACATTCTGCTGTCATGTTCTCATCTGGCAGCCATGTTACTTAACATCATCCATCAGACACTGCTGGGCAATTAGTGCGACTATTAACCGACACTATAAGTATTGATTGATGTGTTGCCGCTCACACAGAAAAGCTCCTATTTCTCATCATGCCACTGCATCGCTCATTCTGTTTTCTAACAAAGTGATTAATCAAGCATATTGGATAATTAACCTATTCAGTTTCTATTGATTGATTCATTGAAGAGTGTCCCACTTTGTGGCATGTTTGGATGAGGCTTTTCTTTTTTTACTGGAGACCACTGTTCCTTTCTTATTTATTTCTTATTAATTCATATATTAATTGCGCTGATTAAAATCAAGCAATCTGTTTATTGTAATGCCAAATTGGTTAGGGTTATATTAATACATCAATTTCCCAACACATCAGCCCAGTATTGACCTTTTATTAATTGTCAGGTCTGTTCTTTGACTTCATCAGAATATGATGGATGAAGTTGTAAGCATTAATAATCTTTGGATGGTAGGTTGATATAAATATAGAAATGGAAATGCACAGGACTCACCAGTCATATTGCAGCAGTATCGGCTTAGTTTACCAGCAGCTTAGCAACTGCTTAATCACTGTAGTAGAAACGCAGATTCTTAATCAAATCGCACTGGTAACACTAACACATGTTGACATAATAGCTGATATCAAATATTCATTTACTTCTATTTTTATTCAATGTTTATTTCAACATGTGCTAGTACAAGAACCTTGAATGTTCAAGCAAAAAGCCTTCACAACACATATAAGATAAGCTGATTCACCGTGTTTTTTGCTTCATAATATATAGTATATATGTCTAATAACATGAATATAGGCGATACTGAATTGTAAAGTACAACAAACCTGCAGAATCACCAAATGGTAGTAGGTGAGGCAGAAGGAGGGCAGTAAAAAAGAGAAGACAGGGTCATTCAAATTATTGAAAACTAAAATGATCAGTTGTAAGAAATATAACTGATCATTTTAGTTTCAATAATTTCTTACACACTTTTGCGTTGAGGATCCACAGGAGAAATCAGTCTGAAGGAATAGAACACTACATTTTAGAAATGTGTGAAAAATACTCTTCTGCTGTTCTCAACACTCAATGAAAATATCGTCACCTTATATTTTGAGTAATTAAGATACTATTCAGTTATGCACCAGTCTAACATGTAAATGTGACATAAAATAATACAATCTTTATTACAGTAACTGGATAGATTTTTTTTGTAGTTTGTGTTTTATCTGATATCTGATACAGAATTTAAATATTAGAGAATTAAGTTTATGTGCAGCAAGGTTGATTTATTTTATTGGCCTTGTTCATCATCAGATGTCAGCCTGTTAATGTGTCCAAACTCCTCCTCGACCACGGCATCAATAACAGTCTCTACCACCTCATATTCATTTTCTTTGAAAATAATCTCAATTTATTCCATGTTGTTGTAGGGATTGAAATATCCAGCATGTCCCAGAATTCCACCCTGATTTGATTCAGTCAGTCTTGTTTAGTTTAAAAGCTTTGCTTGTTTGGAAAATGATGAACAAATGTGGAAAACAGTACTCACAGTTTTTCTACTCTTAAATATATTGAATGAACAATAAACAACTATTGCCAAACATAATTAAAAAAAAACTTCAGTAACTGTGAAAAAAAAAGTTCCAATCCATAAAAGCACATGACAAATAATGTAAACTTTACCTCCTGCACAAATGTTTTGTGTTTCATTCAATAGCTGCTTATTCGCTCGCATGTGTGGATAGGAGACTAGCTACGAGTGTTCTGAGAATTTGAAGCTGTCCGAATCTTAGTTTGTCCTCCTAGGATTTCCATTTGGGCTGTAAACACTCAGACAGTGTAACCCCTTTATTATAAGGCTGAGGACATGTTGAGGTGAAATCATAATATACTGTATATACCTGAGGTTAAATGTAAACAAAATGACATGTGAATATTGTTGAAATGCAGTGTGGAACTCATACGCCTTTTACGTTGTTATCTGTATACTTACGATCCCCTGTGAGATTGTTTCCCTTCACTTTAGAAATGCTGAGGGTTAATTATTTAGATTTTGGAC